GATGGCTGGGGAGCTTTGAATCATGGTTCTGGTGCCAGGAGAGGAGGGGAAGAGTGAGCAAGCAGGGCAGACAAGTTGTGTGTGGTGGGTTTTGATGTTTTGTGAGTGACTTGCCCTGAGGCACTCTTAGGAATTTTATCTCACCTTTCCTCCAAGGAGGCTAACACTGCTGTCCAGTGTTCCCTCTAAGCAGAGTTAGTGTGAGCTAGCTCACAGTTTTTTAGCCTCCGGTTCACACCTTTTTGTCTTAGCTCAGGAAGGATGGCTCCAGAGGAAACTAATTTATGCAGTAGCCGAATCGCTTGCTCACAACTTTAATGCCAGTAGCTCACAAAGTAGAATTTTTGCTCACAAGACTCCACAACTTAGAGGGAGCATTGCATGCTGTCTCTTCTATTTTGCCCTCACAACAACCCTCTAAGGTAAATTTGATTAAGAATCACTTTCTGTTCTCAGAGTACCCAGTAAATTTTCTGGTTGAAGGGGGGGGGGGGTTTGAACCTCAGCCTCCCCAGTCTGAGTACAACCACTGCACTACAATGGATCTCTCTCAGTGAGGAAATGGCCGCTATTATGTGAGCCAGTGTGTGCCATGTTCAAGACCCCTCTGCCTTGGAAGCTTTGTGTATCAAATTTGTATTCCACGACTGCTTCAGTGTAGGGCTGCAAGCAATGTTCCCTCTAAGCTGTGGAGTCTTGTGAGCAAAAATTCTTCTTTGTGAGCTACTGGCATTAAAGTTGTGAGCGAGTGATTTGGATACTGCATAAATTAGCTTGCTCTGGAGCCATCCTCCCTGAGCTAAAACAAAAATCTGTGAGCTGGAGGCTAAAAATCTGTGAGCTAGCTCACACTAAATCAGCTTAGAGGGAATACTGGCTGCAAGGTGACACAGTCTTGTTGCCCTCCAATTCTGCTCACTTCTGGGATGATGCATTCTGGGACAGCTGGACATAAGTGATCCACAGGCCTCATTTCCTGCAGGAGCACGCCGGAGTGATGCTCCTGCAGTAAGGAGGCCAGGGGGTGGGCACATGCAGCAAGCCCCACCCCCTGCTCCCAGCAGTGCCCCCTGTCTTTCCCGCCCGCTGGACGACCCAGCAGAGTGCTGCCACGAGCTCTGCCTCGGCCTCCTGCACATAGGCATAGAGTGCCAGGCACTGAAGACAGAGGAGGCAACAGACAAGTGTGCAGGGTTGCCTATTGGCAAGGTGGAGCAAAAGCTCCTCCCATCCACCGCAGAGGTGGCTGGGAGAAAAGAGAGTGCGAGACCGGGGAAAGAGACACAGGCAGCATGAAGTCACCTAGCTCATGACTCAGTGAACAAAGGAGAGCGAAGGAGGGATGGACAGACCCGGCTGCAGCAGCAGAAGGAGGTGAGCCAGGAGCCAGAAGGCCAGCTGAGGCACACATGCGAGCTCCTTCCCCTTCCCTTGGCCAGGTGGCTGGGCCGGGAGACTGTTGGGGGGGGGGCAAGCTGCACCGAGGAGGAGAGAGACAGAGCCACCAGGCCTGGCGCAGCAAACCAAAGCCAAAACAGGTGGGCGCTGTTGTTGCTTGCTACCCTCCCTTTCCCTCCCCCCCATTTGGCTCTGGCGCTGCCTCACCTACTGGTTCCTGGAGACAAGGCGAGCTGGTGGTGCTGGGCAAGCTGTTTCACTCCACCTGGCCGCAGCTGCCCCCGAGCGAGCAAGTGAGCGGCCGGGCTCCGGAGCTGTTGGGGGCTGTGGGCATCTCATTAGGGAGGTCGAGATTGTGGGGTGGGGGTTTCCCTGGGTCCAGACCATGCCTTGGAGCTATTGGGGTGGCTGTGGGCCCCTCTCTGGGAAGGTTGGAGGTGGGGATGTGTGGCAGAGCGGGGCGAGTAAGCTGTCCCCTAAAAGGGGAAGCTTCGCCAGCCTGAGGATTCTGTCACATGCCCCCTTCCTCTGCTCCCATCAGGAGTTTCAGAATCCTCTTACCGTCCTCTGTGGGATGGACTGGAAAAGAGACAGACAGAGGTTTTTTTTTTCTAGAAACCCTGGGAGAGAGAACAGCAACAACAAAAAAGCATGGCAGAAAACCAACCCTCCTCTTTGGAAATAAAGCAATGATACTTTCCCCTCCTTTGCTCCCGGCAGCAGGGTTTCTGAGCTCAGGAAGGCTTTAAAAACAAACCTGTGTTCTGGACCTCTGCTTGCAAAAAGCATGGTACTGCTCGGAAGCAGGGACCGGCTTGGGGGGGGGGAAGATCCACCCACTCCCTCCCCCCTCCTCTGCTCTGGGCTTCTGAAGTGACGGCGTGGAAAGAAAGTGAACATTTTCTCTTTCTCCTCCATCGAAGGCAGGGTTTGGAGACAGAGCAAAACAGACGTCTCTCCCTCCCAGCTCCAGAACAATGTTCAAGTCCAGTGGCACCTTTAAGACCAATAAAGTTTTACTCGAGGTGTGAGCTTTCGTGTGCACTCATTCTTCGTCAGACAGTGAAATGGAATTACAGTCAGATCATAGTTGTATCCAGAGGAAGCATTTTTAAACACATGCAAAGATCTATGACTGTTAGTGCCTTCCATTAATGGATTACTGTGTCTAATGGGGTCTTCAGATCCTTGTGTAGGTGTACAATGACCAACCATCTGGTTTGGGCTCCTTTGGGCAAGTTGGAGCAAATGATATTGTTATTGAGTTTATATACAGACAATGAGTGCTACGATTTGCTTTGCAACCTCTATGAGAAATTGATCAGTGCTTAGCATTTGCTCATGGTGCCCTTTCAAAGTTTTGTTTATCCTTTTACTGCTGCAGAAAGAACTTTCTTGGTCATGGGGCCAATTTCCTGGCATGGCCTTCTGGAGGAGGTTCAGCA